GTAACCTTGATTTAATCAAAAATAAAACTGAACAAAATATGACATAACATATGCAATCTGTACTGCATGAGAGTAACAAAGATGTAAAAAAAACAAATTACAAATATTTTCCAATGTGATTGTGAAAGTGCGAGATGTGTCACCTTTTTTAAATAAGTATTTAACCTTACCTGTATACAATAGAATAGGTGCTATTTTATCCAAAGAGTGGAGACAGTTTGAAAGACAAAAAGAAAAAGAAAGAGCAGCTCAAAAAAGGAAACCACTTTTGTAGGAATGAACTGTAAAATACAAAGTGTGTCTAAGTATACACAACAATAGTTTAAGTGTGCACAACAGAGCTTGCAACATATTCAATATATGAAATAAGATAAAGTTAAATTGAAATAAGGTAGCTAAGGCTGATAATTTATAAGCACCTTTCATTGAAGCCATTTATTTATATAAATGAAGAACAATGATAAGTTAAATTGTTATATTTAGAGCTAAAGTGACATGCAAAATATACAAATAACTTACAGTATGCCATTTCTTTCAAATACTCATGTCGCATAACACAATACCTCATTGCTATGCTCTTTCGATCATCAATTTGTACGGTTTAACAGATATGTATAAAAGTTCATCACAAAGTTTTTCAAAGCATCATCTCATTGTATACAAAAAGGAGAATTGATCAAAACAATCATCATAAATGTGGTACTTCGGATTTGATTTATATGTATAAATTTATCTACATATTATACACTTAATTAAATATATATTAATAATTAAAACTATAAAATAATTAAGTTGCGTGCGTAAGTGTAAAACGATGTTAATCACGGTATACCAGTATAATGTATTATCTATGCGGTATACAATAGTAGGTACCCAGTTACTAAAAAAATTAATAACTACTTACTTAGAATTTAGGTTACATTAATAATCTTTAACTTTTTGTTCATCAGAACCACAGAACAATAATAATACTCTACGAGATCAGAATAGTCACAGTCACATCCAGGGTATGTTCCGATATACACTGCGAAGACTGCGCAGTGGTCTTACTGCTGAAAAATCCGTTCCGTCATGGACTGCCAGTACACTTGCGAAGGACGTTATTCCAAGACAGTTATTCAACTAGTGATCTGCCTGAACCATAGACATAAAAGAAGAGGACCGGCCATACCTACCAAAAAAGGCGTATTAAGCCTGAACGTACACTGCTATAGTACCCTAGGGAAATTTATGACGTCATAAATTGCCGCCATATTTGTACTGTGAGTACTGGAGATTTCGAGGTAAGGTGCTCGCAGTGCTTTTGATCACGTGATCAGTCGAAACAGAATCAGAAAATGATAAGTTTCTAAATAAACAAAACAAAAATACTTACGTTTATTTATAAGATAGATTTAATTGATAAATATTTTTTTATACAATTTTCCAATTTTCTTTTGAAAAGAGGGAATCTTTATATTTATATTCACCTTGCATTAACAAATTTGAAAATGGCGCCAAAAAATAGGATTAACAGTATACTGGACTGCGTTCCGTTTTAAAAAGTCACCAGTATAACTAACTATAAAGGAACGGGCTTCCAGTATACTAAATTGACGTCATACTGTTCAGTGGTCGCAGTGTATATCGGAACATACCCCCAATCTCCATAATCACATCCATCACATGAACTAGGGTTTCCGATCTCGATTTGACTATATCGTAAATCGAGCTTTTTGACCTCGATCTTTGATTTTTTGCCACTCAGATTCATCACAAGATCGTCGCAATACACAAAGATCAAAAATCCGTCTTTACTTTTATTATCTATAACGAATTTATATTTAATTAACTTAGAAAACATCAGCTATCATAACAAATTATTATTAGGTAACAGATTTTTCTATATACGATACATATCGATAGGATACTATATCGATGTTTGATAGATCGATCTCACATTTTATTGTTGACAGGAAAACTAAGTTCAGCTGCCTTTGCAATAAAAAAATTAGGCAACTTACAGATGTAGATGCCGCTAGGACAGTATACTTTAGTTATTTCCCTAGCATTATGTCATATGGCATTCTGATGTGGGATATGGCTGCAGATATAGAGTCGATATTTATTTTACAAAAAAGAGCAGTAAGGGCCATTTATCAATTGGGTTCAAGAACATCACTTAGAGATAAATTCAAAGAAATTGGGATATTAACAGTGGCTTCCCAATTCATATAAAATTGTATACTTTATGTTAGAAACAATATTAACAATTACACTAAACATAGTCATATACACAATTTGAATACTAGAAACAAAGATAAACTTGTTTTGCCGTCATGCAGGCTAAAGAAGGTACTATCATCATTTATGGGTCAAGGTATACACTACTATAACAAACAAAATATAACAAAATTCCTTTGGAATCTTAAATTTACCATTGCCTAAGTTTAAAACCCATATTAAGAATTGTCTACTCAATAACAAAACCGCTTGGTGTTAAATATGGCTCATTTTTCATGTATATTAAATTGTGTATCGGTAAGCTTCTTTCACTACACATGTGATTCGATTCAATCAAATCAAATCAAAATTTATTTATTCAGTTTAGGCTTTTACAGAGCACTTGTGAAAGTAGAAAACTACGCCATCGGTTCGCAAAACTACGACGTGAGACCTTGTACTGAGAAGAACCGGCAAGAAACTCAGCAAGGACTGTTTTTTCTCCCTGTTTTATTTCACACAGAAAAGTCTTCTTGAAAAGTGACTTCATTAGAATATAAAGTCACTTTCCATTACAGTATTAGGAAATACATACAATAAAATTAAAATATCTAACACCATGCCTCTTTGTCATTTAAATAGTTCTTAAGCGTATAATATCCTTTACTTTGTAGACAATTTTTAATATGACTTTTAAAATGATTTATTGGCAAATCTAATACATCACTGGGGATCTTGTTAAAGTATTGTATACCTTGACCCATGAAAGAACCTAATACCTTCTGTAACCTGTAAGCAGCCCTTGCCGAGTTTCTTGCCGGTTCTTCTCGGTACAAGGTCTCCCACCTAGATTTACGAACCGATGGCGTAACTCTCGACTTTCACAAGTCCTTGTAACAGCCTAGACTGAATAAATTATTTTGATTTTGATCTTTACGTCTTTGTTTGCTGATTTGCTGAACCGGTCTTAAAGGCTGCGATTTAAATCGATACACAAATTCAATGAGGAGGTATTTAAAAAAAAAACGAAAGCCCTTAAAAAGAGGGCGCCTCTAGCAAAAGTAGATTTTTGCAGGAAACGAATGGACCAAAGACAGTAATTTCTGTTGCTTTTAACGAATGGTGTGCGGAATCGATTACCATTAATCGATGTTTCAAATAATCAGTTGCTATCGATTATGATTTCCTAATCGACGATTAATCATCGATTTTTTCTTAAAACGTTAGCAATAGGAATAGTTTAAAACGTTAGTATAGTTTCTACTTACTTTACTTCGATGGCTCAGCAACACATAGCGGATCGCGAGTGTGAATATTATTAGTAGATATTCTATTATCTATTATGGCAACCCTGAAATAAAACAAATAGGTAACTTTACGCTTTGGTCGGGGTACTCCCGTTGAATGAATGAACGGATCTTACAGTTTTATTTTAACAAATACAAATTAACCGTTTCTTAGTAAATGCACATGTAAATATACACGGTACATACCTATACCAAAATAATATTGTTAACATTTTTTGTCTGTCTGTTTGTTCGGGCTAAACTCTGAAACGGTTAGACCAATTTTTACGGGACTTTCACTGGCAGATAGCTTATGTAATAAGGAATGACTAAGGCTACTTTCCAAGCGGACGAAATCGTGGGTACAACTAGTTTACTTGTATAAATTTTGCATGCACAATGCTGGTATAGTAAACAATGTCTTAAAATGGATTTTTTACTATTTTTCATTATTTTATATGGCCTTAGAATACGGTGGAATTAATCTGAACTCATTAATAAGTTTTTGGGATAAAAATATTTAATAATCGTTGACATGAATCGATTATTATCGATTATGAGTAAAACTGTAATCGATTAATCGATTTGCATTATAATCGAATTGGCACATCATTACTGTTAACTAACATATTAAAAAACTGGAATTTGAAAAGTTCGAAACTTAGATATCTTGGTCCATTCGTTTCCTGCAAAAATCAACTTTTGCTAGAGTCGCCATCTAGTGGAGGTACTTTTTTTATATTAAAGTTGCTTACTTTTTACGATTATTAGGACTTTAGGTTGTCAGTTAAGTTAATGAATAATCCAGCTGAGCTTAGATCATATTACATTGAATTGATAAAAGAAATGGTTTAATTATTCTATCGTGAATTGATCTTTTAAATCGATTGATTATAATAATAATCGAATATATTAAATCGGGTATCCCTAATATTGTGAAAAGTTTTTTGGGAAGCAATATGGGATACTTCAAGCCATGCTAAAGGTAGAATGTACAAATCTATTCAGGAATCAATACCTCACAAACCATGGTTTTTTAGAACGCATTTAAATAAATATGCTACTACAAGTCTCATCAGAATGCGTTTAGGGCATTTTCATACTGCCTCTTATCTTGCTAGACTAGAAATAGCTGACAGTAGTCTATGTGCTTGTGGTGCTGGTGTTGAAGACTTAAACCACACTTTCTTCGAATGCCTCTTCCATGGTTGCTCCTCTTTTATTAATTCTTTAATATCGGCCCGCATTTCCCTTCCTACATCCATGCAAACCCTTTTAACCTGTATTAATTTTGATTTATATAACATAATATCAACTATCAACATAAAATAACCGATCATAATTATCCTTTCCTAATTCTGCTCCTTCGTTATTTTCCTTAAAACGGTTTCCCTACCTTTTAAACTCCGTTGGGCTAAGGCATAAACCGTGCAAGCCAAGAAAAAATAAATAAAAAAAGGTTGGGTAGCTTTGATCCACAGACCAATAAGCGCTTAGACCAATCTTCTTCTTGGTCTGTGGCTTTGATGACCGTTTTTTGATTCCGTCGTTAAAACTACTACAGAAAGTTCTAAAGTTATTTGACTTAGAAAAGAGGCTTTTTAGTTCGTTAATTTGTTACATTGAGTACATTTGTATAATTGAGAAATTTGTAACGACTTACGATTCTTCCGACAACACAATTTTTCGCTGTGTAGCTCAAGTTGAAATCGCAATATGTCAAATATTTCAAGGAAGCACCGGCAATCGAAGACGAGGATATTCGATCGACAAAATCGGTGTATTAATTGTTCTTTCTTGATCCCCAAAAAGTTGTATGATAAGCATCCCGTGGAGCAAGCGCCGATGCATATAGTTACTACATTGCGGGCATGGATATTTCCCACCGAGGTGAGTAAATATCGCAGGAATGCAATCCAATAACAGTAATGGATGATATAAAATCGTGATGTATGATAGTTAATCTTTTTGTGACTAGGTTTTGGATTAATTTTGATGGAATTTTGTAATTGTTTATCCCACACTTTCAAATGATTTTTTGGTCACTCTAACCTGAAGACCAAACTTTAAGACATGATAGCAGTTTTCAATGTAGCTTAAGCTTTGATAGTTTGTTGGTGCATTAACATGCTAATACATTATTAAAATATTCATGTGTTCTGTGTGACAGAAATACAATAAACCAAATTACTTATACATATTCACATGAGACATAAAGGCCAATGCTGTTTCTCCAAATACAATATTTTCAAAATGCTAATAGCACCCAAAAGAAACTATATGAATTTAAGATTTATGGTGCAACAGAGTTAGGATCCGACATTGCCTCTGATGCTCAGAAAATGTTGATGGCAGGATGACAGTTTCAAAAATGTTAAATCTTCCATCACTACCTAAAAATGTAATTTAACGCATTTGTTTGTTAATGTTGTTGCTATGATTATGCATGCTGTTTACACATATGTGTGGAATTGCAGCCTACATCTAATTGCTTACTTTTTTTGTTTCTTGATTATGTATATTGTTGTTATTCTGCCTTGTGTAACAATTAAAATAAATAAATAAAAAAATCTGCAAACATTGGTAGCATAATAGAGATTATTCAAAGTTTACAATATAGAGATATTTGAGACCTTCATTAGCATCATGCATTTTCCCAATTGCTCCTTAGAATTTATCTGTATTTAAAATTGTACTCCCACCAGCTTCCTTGTATTATTTTGTGACAAAAATTGCCATTAATAGTAATAATTGTTTATTTGCAAAAATATGGAACAAATGATATTACATAGTTATTAACAATAGTTTCAAACATTCTACAGTATATGAACAATGTGTTAATTTCATTAGGTATGTAATTTCCTTCCAGAAATGCTTAATAAAAGATAAACTATAAGGCATTCAAAATCATAACTATTTTAAATAGAATACATAATTACAAATGTTTTTCAAAAAAGAAAAGATTTTCTTTAAATCTGCCTAAATCTAAAAGTGGTAGAATTAGGCAGATTTAAAGCTGTGCAATCTGCAACAAAATTACAAAATTTACTTTATTGAATTTTCATTCAAATACAAATAGAATAGGGATGATGACTAATTTTTGTTTGTTTCTCCGTCAGGTAGAGTGTTAAAAAATATTAAACACATATTTTTTTATTGTTTTCGTAATCATAAAATTACAGCGTTACTTGGAGTTGAAATTTCGCATGACGTCACGTTAGAGTACGTTTTCTACTCAACTGTGACGTAGCGAGCCCCCACTCCTCAATTTTAATGCCTGTTATCTAAGCTGTTTCTTGTTAAAGTGAAGTAAAATAAAATACGTATCTAATATTTTTCTATTATCTGACTGACGGACTAAATAGAATTGCATTTTTTTTACCCAGTCATCATCCCTATTGCCTTTCAGGTGATATAATAATAAATGAGTTATGTTTCATAATTACACATTGTAATACTTAAATATATTTAAGAATCTATTATAATTATTTTATAAAAGATCTTGTATTTGCCCTTTTTGAACATTTATCTGAAGTTTTGGGCTAGGGGAGTTATGTTGTATGGTGGGCTTTTCCACAACTCATCATCAGGTGCCCTAATTTGCATAAATAACTTGGTTGCATTAGTGGGCCAGCAGGGAGGGCAAATCAATTATTACTATTCTGATGTGACTTAATTGTCTATAATAGAAAAAAAAATCATATCTATGTATATAGTTGTAGCAAGCATGCAACATTTAGTTTAGCAAATAAATTAAAATCTTTTGTAACTTTTTTTAATAATTTGATTCTATTCTCATGTGACTTAATTATCTATAATAGAAAAAACAATCATACCTATATAAGTTGTAGCAAGCATGCTACTTTTAGTTTAGCAAATAAATTAAAACATTATGTAAATTATTTTTTTTATAAATAAAATTACATATATCTTATAAAATATTGTTTGGTTTTAAAAGTAAGTAAGATCTTAATACAACAGTTCTCTGAGAGGATTTTCATTTCAGTTGTCACCAGATTCCATAATTTGCACAGAATGCTATAAATTACTTCAGAAACAAACAAATGCAATTAATGAAGAATCAAATATGATGAGTGAAGAATGTTTGCCTATTTTAGGGCATAAAAGTATTTGCTATCCTTGTGGAATTTCAATTTCAAGAAGTGCGAGAACATACAGTGTGCCCCATGATGTAAAAGAAAGAAGTATTTTATTGGAAAGTGTTCCACTCCATTTGGTAAATATAATTTTTATTTGATTTTTGTACTCAACATGATGGATCAAGCTTAAGTAAAAATATTTAATAATTACTCATCTCAGAGCATTGTCAAACGCCCGGTTTCTGAAATGAAAATTTAGAGTTAAGAACTTCTCAAACTGTACTTAAACTTAACTAAAACAGGTTTTCCTTTCCAGTTTTAGATTTTTAATATTTATGTAAAATTAGTTGATAGCACTTTGATAAAAGGAGCCACATAACCTTGTGAAACATAAAACAATTAATAATAAATAGAGATTATGTACATACTTTTCTCAATTCACAAACTGGTCAATAGGTCCTGTAATCTTTCGATAATTGAACAGCTGTTTAACCTATTTATCTACTAGTGTCCTAAAGTCTAAAAAAGATTTATACAGACAACCTCCTTCACATTCAAAGATTTTAACATAATAAAATTATGAGAACGAGGTTCAGGTTCAGGTCAATGAGGAAATATAAAACACAAAATAGTTCCCGAAATCAAACTAGATGTCGCTACGGTACTTTCTTGATATCTCCATGACAAGCCTAACTTTCATGTAAAAAACGTTTTCATTTGTACTTTTACGTATTTGTATAGATATCTAAGTTTCAAACTTTGCAAATTTCAGTTTTTTAATATGTTAGTTAAAAGGAATAGAAAGTACTGTCTTTGGTCCAGTCGCTTCCTCCAAAAATCAACTTTTGCTAGAGTCGCCACCGAGTGAGGTGCTTTTTTAGTGCTTTCTTTTTTTATACCTCCTCATTGCTTTGCAAAATTTGTTTTCGTTTTTTGGACAAAAAGTAATGTTAATGAACATTATTTTAAAATGCTTTTAAAATGCATACTTGAAATTTATTGAAATTACCGTCACGGCTTGAAATGTCACATGACTGTTGATGATTATTTACGCGGGATAATTTAAATTAATGAATAAAAATAGAGTTTTCCTTTATTTAATAACAATAAAAATATTTAATAATAATAATATTCAATAAAAATAAAACTCGAATGATTGTTGGGTACAAAACTCTGACGTCATGCGACATTTCAACTCAATGGACCGCTGTAATTAAGAGATTAAGAAAAAAAAAAACATGTGTTTATTCTTCAATAATTCTGAAGACAAACAAAAACACATGCCATCAACCTTATTAACCACTACCAACATACCACTAATTTTATATTGTTTAAATTTGTGTCTTATTATTAACTCTGCCATTTCATGCTTTTGCGGAAAAAATATTAATATTGATTATTTTTCATTGTCAGGTCTCAAGAATGGAACGAGTATGTGTGGCTTGTTGGATGTCTGCATACAGAGAGGTAAAACGGCAACACCAACATGACACAAATCATAGTGTCCCAAATGTGGAATCTATTGGGGATTCCCCTGATGCGCCAGTTCCACCCCCTCTTCCACCACCTCAATCGGAAAAGGTTCTACAGCAGACACCAAAAATCAAGTCTTCGCTATACAGACGTGCCGCTTGCACATCTAGTCGTTGTATATTCCAGAATTGTTCTAGATCTGAAAGATTACTCATACCATCTGCTATAAAGGACCTTGTATTGTACCGACAAAAATTCTATATACCAAACGGTTGCCGCGTTTGTCGTTACCATTTGAATCAGGGTCATTGGAACGAATTAACATCGGAACTAGTGGATTTCACTGGTGAACAATTTGATGTTATTATGACTATGATGGAAAGGGCAGCCAATAGCTATTTAGATTTTTCAAACATTAATATCATGTCTCCGCACTTATGTCGTTATTTTCTTGGATTGAATTCTGATCAGTTTTATGATCTACTGAACAGTATTCCAAATCTTGTTGACCATGTACCGAATGCTTCTGTTGCGTTAAGTGTTTTATTGGTTAAATTAAAAACAGGTGATAGTAATGAGAGATTAGCTACTCTTTTCAATAAACCACGAAGTACCATAGAACGTTGGATGGGAAAAGTAAAAAGTTGTCTTAATGATGATCTAATTAAAAATCTTTTACCCTCTTCTAAATAGAATTTCGTGTGTATTGGGTCTCGTGTTAGTCAAGTCTTCAGTTAACTATGTCATCTCAATCCAGGTATTTTCTGCTTTTTTTTAAAGGTATTTTATCATCGATTATCGGTTGTCTTAATGATGATCTAATTAAAAATCTTTTACCCTCTTCTAAATAGAATTTCGTGCGTATTGGGTCTCGTGTTTATCTAGTCTTCAGTTAACTATGTCATCTCAATTCAGGTTTTTTCTGTTTTTTACTACTACTGGATTAGGATATAATTTATTTTTCCATTTTGTGATTAACTCAGTTGTGAAAATTTGTGGCATTCATATCCCCATGGTACTCCCCGCATTTCGAATCTGATTTGAAAATATTTAAAGCACCCTCAACTAATCCGTCTCAACTTCCACCATGAACACTAAACGACGCCCTTTGCCAATGTCATCGTAATAAATACCAAGCTCATATTCGGATTGCAACACATTTTGAAGTGGCTATTGTAAAAGTAGGTTTCTTCTTTCTGTATAGTTCATAAATACCGCCATTCAGCTGTATTTATGAACTATATTAGATTTTTTAAAGAAATATCCCATGTTATGTAAAAGCTGTCTTAAATAAGTACAATGGCAGTTCACGATACCATCTTCTTTTAAAACTGCAAGCAGCTTACGAATACTTGGGATTTTTTTTATCAACAATATATAAATGATGAATTTTTATTCGTATTACACTCATGTCAAAATCATCAATGTGGATTCTCTTTTTAATTTGTTTAGGTTTCCGCGGAGACGAAAATTTCAAGTTTTCCGATGTTTGCAGATTCGAATTTCCTTCAGCTACAATTTATTAATGTTCATATCATATTTCTGTTCTATACTTTCCTTGTCAACCTTTTGTCTGAGAAAAAAACTGCGGGCATTGTAAATGACATTTTCACTTGTCGTGTAATTGGCGGATCCATCTTAGGATATTTTATCTCATGTATGTTTAGAACAAAGTAGCACAAACAACTGAAACGTAACCGTCACGGAGTTCGACGGCAGGCTGAGTCAGTTTGACGTTCATTAACCTGGTCCAGGACGGGGCCGTTCTGCCGTTCACACACCTCAAGCGGTGATTAGCACATCCGTGCACACTATATCAAGATCTATCACGTCGATATTACGAGTGTGAGAAAAATATCAATAATACTTTCGATTCCGGAGTAGGGGTGACATGTCTGATGAAATATTTGAACCGGTCATTGAATATGTTCATTTGCTTCCATCTTGATGGATGTGTAGTGTTAACAGCGCCTGAGGGACAGCACTCATATTCTTGCAATGGAATATAAAAATGGAGGCACAAAATGACCAGCGGCGTTTATGGCAACATCAATTGTCATTAATTAACCCTTTTCCGCTGACGTAAGGGAAGCTATGTCTCGTTTCCCTTGATGGCCAACCACTTGGGGTATCTTGCTCTGTACAACGGCAAGCACAGATTGGTCAACATTGTATATGCGGTTTGGACCAGAGTTTTCTTTAGCATAGATTTCTTCAAGAAGACCAAAGAATGAGTCTACTTTTTCTTTACTGGATCCAAATTCTCTAGCAAAAGACGTGCCAGTTGCTCTTCTTACTGATAACTGGTCTCTATGACGTTTGCGAAATAGCTTAAGCCATTTCCGTGTCACCAAAGGGATTTTCTAACTGATTACGCTTTGCCAACATGTACGCCATTCTGCGAACACCGTTTCTCGTCAAACCATGAAATTTGCTCTCTATGGTTAAAATGCTCTACTAATAATCTACTTAAAGATTTTCAAGGGTTGTTGCTATAACAGTTTTTCTCCCGAGTGTCTTAGCCGCAGCTTCTTCTGGGGGTAATTCGTTTTTCTGGCACAATCGAAATAGGTAGAACTTAGCACATCGAAGTGTTTTGCAGCTCTCAAATAATTCATTTTTTTCTTTCTTACTAATTCAATAGCTTCTGCCATATGTTCTGAATTCCATTCTTTTCGCTTCGTTTTGAGTTGACGCCAGCCATTCTGTTAAAACAGGATTCCTTGATAAATTATCTTCCAACTTATATATGGTTTCCTTACGTACGTATTTGTCGAAAATACGTAATAACACACATTTGCAGAAGTTTATAGCAAAATAACCATTCAAAAGTAAAGATATTATTATTTAATTTCACTCACCTTTTTGAAGAGAAAACACACAATACAACTTTTTCACGGCACTTTCCACAGAACACACAGTTAACGTCTATGTTGTAATGGCGGCACTGATTCAACATCAACTTTACCTTTTTTTATTTGACATTTGGGAAGTATGTTTGGTCTTTGAATTTGAAATAGATGGGTAATTTATGACACTAGCGGGAGAAAAAATACCAGGTTTCTTAAAAGAAAGTTCATATTAAAAGAAAGTAAGAAGTTTATTGAAAAATGTTTATTACATTTTAAAATACATTGTTTAGGATTCTTTTTTAAATGATATCGTCCGTTATGTAAGCCGTTGCGCTCACGGCATTCATTTAATCGAGCACAAAAATTGTCTATAATTGTCATAGGCTCAGCAGGTATTCTCCATGATGGCTGCCATTTCGTTATGGATATTTTCTTTAAATTGTGCAAGGGAAGTCGGTTTGTTGGCGTAAACTTTTGATTTGACATAACCCCATAAGAAAAAACCATAGGCGTTAAACTGCTTGGAGGCCAACTTGTGTCGCCTTTCCTTGAGATCGATTTGCCAGGAAAAATTTCACTCACTCGTGGCAGAGACCTGTTGGGCGTGTGTGAAGTTGCTCCGTCCTACTGGAACCATATTCTTTGGTGGAACTGCAAAACTTTCCTGGTATAACCTTCATAAATGGTTTTTATTTCAGTTTGTACAAAGGGCGTGTCACGTAACCAAACCTCTTAAGAGACCGTTGGTATCAGGTAGGGTAGATAAAAAAAGGTAGTTTTGTTCCATCTTTCGAAAATGTTGAATGATTCTTTTGTGAATCTCTTCTAAAAAACAGCCTGAGTAGTTTATTGTATATGTTTTCACGACAACCAAGTTTTACAAAACATTTGATGATTATAGTTTCTTCGTTCTTTTATATCTTTCTATATTTTAAGTTAATGTCATGAAAAAGTCGCTTTTTTATTTGAACTCGGTTTGTTTTCGAGTCTGATAATTCTTTCTGTGATTTGATGGTTCTTAAAACATGATTTGTTATGCAAAAAATAAATATGATAGAAATGTTGCTATATAATTCAGGAAAATTAATTAAAAAAAAAATTGCGTCAATAAATGATAATATTTTGATAAAAAATACCTATGTATCATTTCTGATACATTATGCATTCTTGGGAGATACCTATGCTAAGAAAATATTTATATTGATATTCGTTAATTGAGATTGGGGAAGTATTACTAAGTGAATGTTTTTTTTAAATGTACAAAAGTTCAGAGCGTATCAGGGACATCAGAATTTATCGTGGAGACTGGTGCCTGCACTTGAGTGTGAAACCCGTTTTACAGGTCACCAGGCCTCCAACATCCGGAATATAAGTGTAGATTTTATACACAATTTTATAAAAGTATTCGTTAAAAATTTAATGATTCATCAGTGATTCTCCCATCGATTCTGTCAATTTGTGTAATATGCTTTATTTATTTTAGTACCATTTATGTTGTATATGAATCAATACAGACACAGACACACGCACACAAATACCCGCGCAAAGAAACATACGTGTAAGTACTCATACAGGTACGTTTGGTTGTCTGTTGCATCTTCAAGCAAAAACAAATGAGGAGTTTTGATAAAATTTGTAAAAGTAAGTAACAAATAATACTACTCGCCGATACTGGTGCTATCCCTACGATATATCTCAATCTTGGGATCATTGACAGGGACTTAATAATAACATGAACTGTATTGTGTCTAACTCCAGCGTCAAAGCGTGACACTTAATAAGGACTCAGTGTCATCATAGTCTAGTTCCTGTAGCCAATTAACAATCTTTTTCTTACATTCTGCTCGAGACATTGGGTATATAGATAGAACGGCGTCTAATTTTTTATATAAATGACTACCTAAGAAGCAGAAAAATTTCTGTGCAAACTTCGTGTTAACTCTAATTCCAGTGCATACACTGCGGCTACTTCTAATGTTCCCATTTTATCAAATAAAATATTATATTATTATAAAACTATTTATTAAATATTTATGAAAAAGTTCAAAGCAGTTGTTATTTCTGTTAGAGCACAGAGATATCTTACATTTTCTACACATAACAAAAGTTATCTTCTTACAATTGGTTTGCTTACATCAATGACTTTTATCGAGATAAATTTTATCATGCCCTATACCATCTTTAGAAACATCACATGATGGCATAAATTGGCTTGCAGTCGTAGGATTTTTTGGTGGAGGAACTACTTGACTAGTGCTTGGCCTACCTCTTTTTGATTATTGGTATTAATCACCGTATTTCGTCAGTGAATATGCCAATTCTGTTCGGAAATCGGCTAGTTTCAATATTTTCTTAGCTTCTACACCCTTCTTTACTAAAACATTCTTATATAAAACCCAAGCATTGATAAATAAATAAAATAAATATAAATATCTTTATTTCTCCTCACAAATTCACATACTACATTATGGGTACATACATTTTTATTTTGTTGATTATTTTACACGTTAATTTGTGGGAGACTGGTGTCTATAGTAGGCTTAGCCTGAAATAATAAATCACCAGGTTCCCACCCCACGATCGATTGAACACATCTCTTATTTTCATATAAATTAAAACTATAGCTTAACACAAACACCATTACTGTCAATCTCGACCTCTACATTAATTCATAACGCACAGTAAAACAAAACATTTATTTATTTATTTATTTATTTATTTAATCTTTATTGCATGGAATAGCAAATGGCGGACTTAATGCCAAGGGCATTCTCTACCAGTCTACCAGACAGAAAGTAGGAAGCAAGATGTATGGCGATAAAGAAAGTAGAAGTACTAAACAAAAAAAAAAACAAAAAACAGTTATACATAAAATAATAAACAAATAGATTTATGCATAAATAAATATTGATATATACGTATATTATAAATATATACAATAACATATATACATATATACTACATATAACATATATACATTACAACATTATATTTAGTATAACTTATTTTAAAGGTATTAAGCATTTTCTCTGTTTCATCATACGATAACTCTAATAGCCAACTTTTAAGTTTTCGTTTACAGTTAAATTTTGTTAATGAAAATATAGTCAATTTACTGTTGATTTTATTATACAGATAATTCCCTAAAAAAGGAAAGAAATTATGTGATAGACTCGTACTAAAAGCTTGGACGGTGCAAACTTTACCCTTTCTTCTTTTGTTCATATTTATTTCATTGTGATAACATAATTGGGAGTGTTTTGATGACACCAAGGTCCAATAAATGATAAAAAATCCTCAAAAAATGTTTTGACTTAGTTCTAATACGATATCGACCTAGAAATTAGTCTATTAGATCGACTCCGCCCATATGCGCATTATACACCTTTATTACTTTAGGGCAAGGAATTTGTACTATCTGATTCAGACGTTTGTCGAAGCGGTCGATAGTCTCTTCAGGTTGAGAGCCAACGTAAGACGATAGAAGTAAAACCTGCTTATTGTCCTCCCAGCTGGTAGCTGAAAGCTCTATGCCATCATAAAATGTTGTGTTTTCATGAAAGGATCCTCTTGGTACTGATGTTTACATGATTTCCCAAGTCGATTCCTTTGAATGGTTTCAAGAGAGTATGTATATACCTTCTTTTTTCAAGTAGTGCACTAATGGAATATTCGTGTAGAAATTATCAAAATACTCTATGTGAACTCCTCTTGGTACTCCTCTCAACAACCGCATGACAGTGTTTGATACGACTCCTAAGTCTGGCTTATTAGGTAAGTGTTCTAGGTTTTGAGCCCCAGAGTATATTTCAAACTTGTATGCATAACCTGTTAGACTACACAACACAAATAATTTAAAACTCTATTTATAAGGCTTATTGGGCAGGTATTGTTTCATATAGTGGCCTATTTTTGTGGCACACATTTGCTCATCTAGGGATAGATGATGGTCGAATGGAATACTTTCAAACTTATTATTGAGGTAATCGATAAATGGCCGAATTTTATGAAGTCGATCATGTTGGGGGAGTGTAACCGATAAATGGTTACGATTATTGTTCATGTGGAAGAACTGCCGGATCTTTTCAAAGCGATTAACGGTCATTACGTCTGCTATGGGATCGAGTATACAGCGTTTGACCAATAAGATCTCATACGAGTACTTGGGGAATGATACACTGTATTCCTAGAAATTTTCTTATTTCCAATATGGTCACAGGGTCAGAAAAGTTAGGATTATTTTGGATGCATAAATATTTGTTACTTCAACTAGTTTTTCAAGTAAGCTTTCGTCAAAAAAATATTGAATAAACTGAAATGGAATACTCAAATTCAAAATATTCTAGGAGTAATCAGAAATACCTCGATATGTAAAAGCTTCATCTACGAGCTACATTTGCTGTCGCTTTCATAATAAATTTCGTCTAACTGGTCGACTTTGCGAAGAAGTTGAATGTAGGGTATCGTCATAAATAAGAGGTGGGTACGAAGGATCTTCCACCTTTTCTGTCTGACCTTCTGGAGCAACTTCCTCTCCCAAACGATCTTCATCATCTTCTAGATCACATTGTAATTCCCTATTGGATTGATAAAACATTATTTCATCTTCATCACAAGTGCTATCATCCTCTGAAATTTCTCCAACTTCTAATCTTCGTAACGCTTCTTCGATCGCGTTCTCATTCATATTGTATTATAAAAAAATGTGGTAGGTATCTGAAACTATATACACACATTGCACATGCACCATAAACACAAAAGCTAATAAAAACATGCAAAATAAGTTCAAACATAAGTAATAGAAATGATAAGTTATATAGGCAATATTTATGTCGTCAGTGCATCATGTTACACTTTTGATACACCTAAAAAACAAATTTACGGACAAAATTTCAAGTTACAACCAAACACACTTAACATAAAACAATACTTACTGTCAAGATTTAATTTTGTAATTGAAAATTGTATAAATATTTAGAAAATATTCCTAAAGTCGTTACTTGCAATTCGCCGTTGTAGCCACGATTGAACCGTTGTTATTATTTGAATGATAAATGACATTCGGGAGCATCTGTCATTTGTTTTTTTTTATAAGATTTGAAAGAGCAAAGGAATACAAAAAAGGTGTATGTTTATAATAATAATAAAAAAAAAAGTCTTTGCAATAATAATATCACGTTACAGTTTTGATACACTATGCATTTAAGGGAACATGATATAAAGTCGGATTCCGAGCTACTGTTACTAATGTTTAGATGTGATTTTTCAGAGAATTTGTAATCTTTATCAACTACTGCATCGACCGAATCAGAATCTAGCCAATCTTCCTCGCTTGTTGCTTCTTGTTTTGAATTCCACTCGGGGACGGAACTTCTATTTTCATTCATCTAAAAAGTCTTTTTTGCCTAAAACAGCATTAACCAATTTTGCGCTTTGACATATTTCTGAATAAAAAGTGTGATTTTAGTTACAAGCTGAGCTCCGCAAAAAAAACCAAGCGACGCCATCTGTATAAAAAAACCGGTCAAGTGCGGATCAGAGGCGTGCTTGGAGGGTTCTGTAGTCAAATAAAAAATATATATAGGGGAGATGCGGGCAAAACGGGGTATCTAACGTTTAAAGGGCAATAAAACTGAAACCATTGCACTTTAACAATCATATTTATTTTAAAATCTTCCTTTGGTAATCAGTCTTTATAATTTTAGGAACAATAATAGCGTAATTATTATTCTAGAAACATAAAAATAAAAAAGATCCCACCACCCCGTCTTACCCTCTGGTTCAGATAAGATGGGATACCCCTACGAGGCAAGATGGGGGTACAGCATTTCACCTACTTTACTTGGCAGAATTCGCAGGTGAATGTTGCTTCATCGTCCCCGTCATCCACTCCAGCACAAGAGCAATGTGCCCACTTGCCACAGAGAGAAGATTCAATCCAGCCTTCATTAGAATCTAAATAAAGATTGCTGCAGTACAAACAAGGGGTATTTTCAATATCCTTTTCACTTTTTTTAGCGGATGATTTGCGATTATCTATCTTTTTTCTTTTTTATGACTCCTGTATTATGTAGTCTTCCTTATTTATCCTTTTTTTTCGTCTTCTCCAACTTTAATTGTCTAATTTCTTTGCTTTTTTGTTTATTCTCTTCTGCGACCTGCTTTTTTTTAATCGTTTCTTCCAGTTCTTTCTTATACGGTGACTCAGTAATAATGACTGTTCTTCCTCGTTTACGAGTCACGCGTGAAGTTTTATGAGTTACTGGAAGTGGTAATATTTGCCGTGGACTAGCAACAGAAAATCACTTATCTAATATACACTAATATTATTTGGGTAGTAAACACGTACTAAGCGAATCGATAAAATAAGAAGAAAACTTGCCGAAATCACTTTTGTTTCGATAACCCAAAAAATACGTGTCGCACGAATCACACACGAGAGTGACTGAGACGGCTAATGGCGCTACATCGTCTGTACAAGTTTGAACATGTTCGTGCGACTAGAAGGCCATAATAGAGCGGCTGCCCCGTCTTGCCCGCCACCCCGTCTCGTCCGCATATCCTCTATCTTCACGCCGTATATCTGGCAGGGTAGGCAGAGAGGCCCGAATACCTCAATGTACGGTCCTTACATATATCTTTCGCCTCATCCACTTTCATTACTCTTTTCATACATACTCGCCGGTTTTTATAGCTTCTGGCATCACCTTCTAAGAGCACGCGATTGGTTTGATTATGAAAGGTGTGTCGTGGCCTTTCTCGACTTCTGCATCCTTCGTCTTTCGCGTTCTATAGTTTAGTTATTATTTTATCCGGCATTCTTTCTACATGTCCGAACCAACGGAGCATGTTTCTGTTGAATTTTACACCGACGCTATCTCATCTCTTCATTCCGAATGCGGTCTAAGAGCAATATTTCGCACATTGTAAGTAAAGGACGCATAGAGATGAAATGCTGTCGCAGATTAAACACAGTCGAGACTGCGTTATATACTTATATATGCTTTCTGACATACCCAATTCTTTATATAGGTCTCGAAAAATAGATGCGGGCTGCTGTACCTCTGTTTTCCCACACGCCCCTGTATACGAAACGAGTAACGTAACGATACGAAAATAACGAGTAATCATTTAATAGTAAGAATACATACGAGTACACTTTTATTAGATACTTTTACATCTTTAAAAAGCTCGCAACGTGCTTCCAGTACATTAGATATAATAGGGATGATGACTAATTTTTGTTTGTTTGTCCGTCAGGTAGAGTGTTAAAAAATATTAAACACGAAATTTTTAATTTTTTTTCGTAATCATAAAATTACGGCGTTACATGGAATTGAAATTTCGCATGATGTCACGTTATGATACGTTTTCTACTCAACTGTGACGTAGTGAGCCTCCACTCCTCAACTTTAATGTCTGTTATCTAAGATATTTCTTGTTAAATTGAAGTAAAAAAAAATACGTATCTAATATTTTTCTATTATCTGACTGACGGACTAAATAGAATTGCATTTTTTTTACCCAGTCGTCATCCCTATTTTATGGCCCTATTCACAATAGTCAGGTCTCGGTCATCCCCTGTCCTGGTAGTGCTCCGGCGAGATGTACGGCCGAAGAGGTTTAGTTGTGCAGAAAGGTCAGCATGTGGGTCTGCAGCTAGCGTTCCAGATTATTATCATGCGAGGCGTTTCCCAGGGTAGAAAACAGATAAAAGTAACATCGCCTACATATGTCTTCATTGCTTGACCAGAGCTACTATCATTCCTAATAGTTAGCAAAACACGGTAACTCATAACGAAATTTATGCTCAAAAACGCATTCATTTCTTCAAAGATAACACTAACACGTCTTCGGTTTTGTTGTGCATATTTGATATTTCCTTTTATACGAGTATAATATGACATGAAGAGTCCACTGCAATAATGATGAATGTCCTTTGTTTATTGTTCCGAGATATTTGGGTATCAAGTTCATAAAGATTGTCCTCAGGAAGGTAAAAAATAGCCTTATTGACTCACTGAAAATTTATAGTACCAAATTGACCGAAAATAGGGAGATGTATGACCGCCATACTAGACAGTTACATTCTCAGATTGAAAAGTTGCATGAATCTCTAGAGAATATGGACAATAAATATTCGAGTGCACAGAAACAAATTAATGAGCACATTAAGTCTGCATCAGAGTTAGTTGATTTATGTAACTATAATGCAGATCGATATGAGTCATTATTAAAAAATCAACAAATTAGTACTATAATTAATTCTTCTTTTTCTGATCATTCCATTGTAAATATAGTACCAAAAATTCAGCTTCACATGTTCAGCCCATTCTTCAAGGAATACCTCTTATTGGAAATATAAGTATATTAATATGATTACAGATTCTAAGTGACGGCATCAGTGAACTACACTGGACCGCAAAGAAAACGGGTCGGTTAGAAAATCGTCAATATCTTGAAAACTACTTAACTTATTTTTATGAAATAAAAACTAAATTAAAGATTATTTAATTGTAATTTATTGAATATAAAAAAATACAAATTAAAAGTTGTCTATTTTCAATAAATGTCAAACGAATGAAAAAGGTAGTTTTTCTGACATTTTCGTAAATATGAATTGTATAAAGATGTGACGTTTTTACGCATGTTAGTATTTCGTGTTGCCTCCACGAGCTTGCAAAACTGCGGCTATGCGATTCGGCATACCTTCCAAAACGTTTTTAAGGCGATGCTGCGGAATGTTCTGCCATTCCTCGATCAAAGCTCCTTTCAATTCACGCAGCGTGATTGGCGGCGGATTCCGTTGACGTACACGTCGTCCCAGTTCGTCCCATGCATGTTCGATGGGGTTTAAGTCGGGGCTTCGTGCTGGCCACTCCATGCATGTGATACCTACTTCGTGAAAATAGTCGAACACTATCTGAGCTGTATGCGGGCGGGCGTTGTCTTGCATAAAAACAGCATTTTCGCCCATATCTACTAAAAATGGACCAACATAGTCATTAATAATTTCATTCACATATCGTTCTGCTGTTAAACTGCCATTTTCTATCACTACTAGCTCAGTACGGCTTTCGGAAGAAATACCAGCCCACACGTGTATAGAGCCACCGCCATATGTTTCCTTTTATTCTATACAAGCTTGGTTATAGCGCTCTCCCGGTCTTCGGTACACTCTTTTCCTCCCATCGTGCTTGTATAAACAGAATCTAGACTCGTCTGATAACATAACTCTTGACCAGTCATCCAGAGTCCAAGTTTCGTGTTCTCTGCTATAACTCAGCCTTGAGTTTAAGTGGTGTCTTTCTAATTTTGGGCCATTTGCAGGCCTTAATCGGCTCAAATTTGCTTCAGCCAGACGTCGCCTTACTGTATCTGTACTCAGATAGTTTCCTCCAGCTCGTAAATGGTGATTTTTTACCTCAACGGCCGTAAGAAATCGATTTCTCAAAATTGTTGACACCATATAGCGATCCTCCCGCGCAGTCGTGCACCTCGTTCGGCCTGTTCCTGGTCTTCTTAGGTTGGATCCGGTTTCATGGAAACGCTGGAGTACCCGCTGAACTGTGGAAAGACTCACACCAACAGTTCTCGCTGTATTGCGCTGACTGCACCCATCTTCAAGCATTGTCAGGATCCTGGTGCATTCTTCAGGGGTTAACGACATGATGACTTCAGAATACAATTTTTGTATGACAAACACACGATATTTATTGTAGTTTTTATGTCAAAACTAAAACAAATGCGAAACAAATGCTTTGATTTTTTTAGAACTAAATTGAAAAACAACCATTATCTTCATTGCCAGTTTTCTTACACAATTATCTAAAGTAAATAAAAAGGTTTTATATACTATGTTAAATAACATTAAATATTCTTTAATTGAGTTTTTATTTCATAAAGCTAGGTGAAGTAGTTTTCAAGTTATTGAAGATTTTCTAACCGACCCGTTTTCTTTGCGGTCCAGTGTATGTAGTGTAACATTCTAAATATGGTGTAATTTTTGTTTGACCGCCACATGAATCACAAAAAATTATAAGAGCGTTGCACTGTTCGCTAATTCCATTGAATATATAATGAAAGAGATGCGAAGCCACATCATCTGATCCTTTTCCTCCAATACTCTCATCATACGCGAAAAAATATGATCAGAAATTAGCAAGAACATGTATATTAAATAGATTTTTAGAGAAATCCATCGCTATCGCAACTGTTGTTGCATCTTACCTTGCTCTCAAACGAGCTTTCCTTTTATTATCATTAAAAACTTAAGCTCTCTTTTTGTGAGCTAAGATTTCCAATTTTCTAAGTTGAGACATAACCTGAGATTTTTCATGACCATCGGGCAGAGAAGAAATTTTAATTTCTAAATGCTTTTTACTGCTTGGAATTCGTCGCAAGTAGAACATGTATCCATCCTGGGATAACCGAATGATGTTAAAGTTTTTATTGAACAAGTTTCGATATGTTTCGTATGCTACATTGTTATTTAGATGTTCTTCATAAAACATTTTGTGAATTTTACATAGGTTCAATTCAGCTGAGAGATATATTTTTTGACTTTGTAAATTATAATGACATTTCTTTACCATGAACTAATTTTAAAATGTCTATTTGCTTGTACATCAAATAATTAGTTTGTTTAGAAAGCTGTGTTTTCACATGTTTTCCTCTTTTATCCTTTTGGACAACGCAGTGCTCAGCCAACGTCAGTTAAACTGAAATCTTATTCCAGTGATACCATTTAAGGGCAAAAAAAAGCTTTTATATACACCGGTATCTCGTAAGTATCTTCGATCATAGGAATCTTGTAACTGTATGATTTATTATGTAATTTTGTATTTTCTTCTCCTATTCGCTGACTACGAGGTTGCACATTAGATACGGTTATAAGCGTTATTGCTTCAAAACATTTAAAACGATCACATTTGCAGTAGTCGCCATTTCATGTGATTGGAGTCGAATTATCTTAAAACCAGTGATTTGTTTCGTTTCTTTCACACATAATTTTAAGAAAAAATTGTATTTTTTTGTAAATTTTTAATATAACCCCAAACAACCTCATGTGACTGGAGTCGAAAGCAACTGAACAACTTGTGTCAGCTCCATGAAAATATCCACTGGTAATAAGTTTCACGTCGCTCAGAAAAAGTAATTATACTCCCAAAATCATATTCACTTTTATGGAATATGTGTGAATATGTGATATGTACATATAAGTTTTCTTGCGCTGATAATAGCAGTAGCCTTTGAACTATCCGAGCATGAGTGTAGTAAATTTTAATCTGTGACGGTCCTTGAACAAAATCTTCAATTCCAATTACACTAGTTCCATTTTTTAAATCTTGAGCTATGAACTGCTGGTCTTCTTCATCTAAGAGTTATTCAACTCCTCCATCACTATTAACCACCAACAGCAACTGCAATATTTCTTCATCTCGAATATAAAATGTCTACGCCCTCTTTTAGCCATTTCTGCAAAAAATAAAAAGGTAAATGATATAACACAAAAAAAGAATACATTATACAGCATTCCATAATGATAACAATACAATAAGTACACCAGTGTCAGAAATAGGTTTTAACACAGCCATTACTGCATCCAAATTGGTTTCAAAATCTAATTTTATTATTCGATAACCGGTGACAACCTTTTACTCATATTTACTAGTATATTAACCATCAAAATACTAACTAGAAATATTAGTTTGTTTAAAATATGATGACTTTAACTTTAATTAATTTCCCACAGGCTTTCATTAGAGAAGCCCTTGATAATTATGTAAATATTTATTTGAAGATATTATTTAGTTGTTTTATTTATTAGACGTAAGAGTTTTAGTATGCTTCGAGAAATTTTCAATGTAACGTCAATAATAACCGACATGATCTAAGAATGATTTTATTTGTTTCTGATTTTGCGGAGATGTTAATTCGGAGACAGCCTTGACTTTCTCTGAGTTAGTAGAAACACATTTACTGGTGATTATGTGGCCTAAATGAGCAACTTCGTGATGTAAAAATTCACACTTGTTCAGCTGTAGTTTCTAATTAAATTTGCAAAGTTTATCGGATACGAGTTTGAGTTTGGTATTATGTGAATTTAATCAGGAGAGTGTACAATACAATCATTGAGATAAACATAAGAATGGTGGCCTTGAAGACCAGAAAGAACAGTATTCATGAGTCTTTGGAAGCTTCAGGGCGCATTTTTTAAGCCAAAGGGCATTCTGGTGAACTCATAATAACCAGAAGTATCAGAATTAGTATTTACTGTGAAACCTGTCTTAAGAGCGTCTTCAGGGTTCATTTTTAATTGATGGAAACCACTAGGTAAATCTTGGATACTAAAGTACTTTGAATGACCTAGCTGATTTAGGATGTCAGTCATTGACGCGGCGATCTATAACGATTCGTCACTTCTTACCTGAAGCGTCTATTTTCTTCGGGACTATCCACACTGGAGCCCTCCATGGTGAAACAGGGACGTATAATACTGTGGTCGAGCATTTTACGTATTTGAGAATCGACCTCTTCTTTATGGCATTCAAAAAAACGATATGGTTTTACGTGGATAGTAGGTGCATCTGCCGTATTTATAATGTGTGTGAATTACGTTTGTATAGGTTAGAGGCTCGTTTACCAAATGAATGGTATCCGTGTTCTGAGAGCAACATTCTAAAAGGGACTCTTTTTATGTTTAAATGAGAACTCTGAATATGAACCTTTTGTACTCGATTCGAACTAGAATATGAAATGGAATTATTAAATTGAGATTATTCGCTGATTGTGATTATATTGTTTGGCTCAATAGGCGTTAATTTCACATAATGATTTTTCATATTAATATCAGAATTTGTAGTATTTAAGATAGTTACATTGATTCTCTTATTAGATTGATAGTTGCAATGCTATTAGCGAAATATACACCATCACTAATAATAGCCCTTGATTATTTGGATAATGCTCAGGTTCGACACCGCGTACTCGATAACCACTTCGGCGCGTGCAGGAATAATTTAAGTTGGCTGAACAGAGTTAATTTCCAGGCTTTGACCGCAAATAATTATTCAATTCGAATCATAGTTTATTTAAAATAATCTTATTGGCTTTAAAATAATCTTAAAAATCGCTACTGATGATGCCATTATATTCTAAATTGATGTCATCGTGAACTTTGTAATTTTTTTTATTATAAGTATCATTATATAAGAAAAAATGTATTTGAGATGTACTTAATGTTTCGGAGCAAAATCCGGCGTTATTTATACCTTTCGCGAGATAATTCGGGTGCTTTACTATAACTTGACTGTTTTATGAGACTTAAGCTTGCACCAGTATCTATAAGAAATCGTAAAGTTCAGTGGCAAAATTAGTTGTTCCTTGGAGGCTGAGTTGAGAGATTAGTATGACTCGTTTGTCCTTGACATTGCCGAGATGATATAGTTTTATTCAGATTATGACTCATGACTGCACTGAGGTGTCAAACCGCGGGCCCTCCGCGCCCAATCCAACGCTTCCCATACTCATTGTCCAGGTATCGCCGTACACTCCACTGAAGAAGAAGCTGGAGCACCATCATGCTTAATACATCCTGCTAATGGTATTCAGAGGCACATCGTATTTTTCCTACCATTCAAGCATTAATCTGTTAGAAACTCCATGTAAGTTTAGCCGTTAAGTCGTAGCAAAAATAAAGGAGTCAATTATTCCCGCCTACACATTTAAAGAGAACCTGTGTTGAAATAAATTTTTGGGATTAATAAGGCATTAACGTGTGCCCACATCTGTCGGTTGTGCTGGTTAAATAAACTTTCTCGTGTCAAAGTACACTCGTCAGTCCAGAGTATGTTCCTGTCCAATTCTTCAAGTAGCGATTGACAAAATGGTACGCACAGCTCATAATCAGATGGCATAAGTTCTTGACACCGCCTAAAGTGATAAGGATGTATACTTCATCTATATTTCATCTTCGAACTGTGGATTGAAGCTCTTTCACGGTCTACTGTGGTCGGTAGACGAAATGTGTCAAAGTTTAGCAAACGCTGTGTTGCCGACACCATCGTTCTGTTTGAAACTGAACCACCAAATTGTTCACGGTAACGTCTCACTGCTTCATTCACGTTTTCATTGTACCGAGCTAGCATCCGAACCATTTCACAATACTCGGTAAATTTTTTATTGTCTATGGGGAAGGCGATTAGCTGTCTTCGTTCTAAAGCCCCACCCTTAATCCTTGGGTGACGGTTTTTTACTGTGAATTCGCGTCGACGCACCCCGTTCCAGAATCTAGCCCTCGGAACCCGTGGCGGTAAAGGATCGCTTGCGGTGAGTCGCCAACCCCTGCTTAATATCGTACACTCACAAATATAGAATAAAATTCAAGTAAAAAATATGAAATTTTGGACACTCACAGTAATATGGTATTCACCTTTGGTATCATTAGCACTTATTTTCAACAACACCAACGGTTGATGCTGCCAAAAACTTTTTTTTTTAATTCTTTGTCATGGTCATGTACTGACGCAGTGTTACCAATATAAATTTCTAGATTCCGCCAATAAACATATTAATCAAAATTATTTTTGCATCTATGCTTGCCGTGTAAAGTAGTAAATGTTACCCACGTGAATTTGGCGGAACCTAGAACAATGTACCTTTTTCAGTTATTCATTCAGTAATTCAGATATTCATTTATTATCTTTGAGATCCAGTTTAATTACTATTAGGCAACAAAGCAAAGTAATATTCTTCTTTTTGACTATCGTCAGTAAAATTATTAATAGTAGCTTCAAATTCATTTGTTCTCGATACCTAGGGATGCAACATCGCTCTTAAAAACATCGATGTTTGAAAACATCGACGTTCAAACTAAAACATCGATGTTAAAAAAACATCACTCATAAGAACGATACATCGATGTTTTGTTTTTACTTTACGATTCATTGGTAACAAGAAATATGGTTAAATAAATCTAAATTAATAAAATATAAATAAATTAAAAAATAACAATAAGTTTGCTTTAATAAATAATAATAAAATAAATAATTTTTTACAAGTTATTCCCAGTTGAACAAGACAAAAACATTTTAGTATGCAAAAATATTTATTTCAAAAATCAATTTAGTAATGTTGTTATTATTTTTTTTATTGTTAATTTTTCGAGTTCAAAAATCTTGAAATTGAATTGAGGAACACAAGCTTGGAAAGCCTTGTTCCCAAAAGCCTGTTTCTGTCTTGAGTGACAGTTGCCCCAGCTTCTGAAAATAATCTTTCGCTTGGGACTGATGTTGCAACGATCGGGAGGTATGTCATTGCGATCCTAGAGAGTTTTGGAAACAGAGATTTCATGTCCTCCCAAATTTCAATGGCATCCCTCTTTATCGGTGTTACAGGGGATGAAAGGTACATCTGGACCTCGGTTTCGCTGATGGAACTTGGCGTAACTGAAGAAGATAATTTATTCTTCATGTTTTTGTGTGTTAACTGCTTGTGATACTTCCAGATGTCAAATTCAGCATCATCTTTATCAGATTCCTCAGAGGAGTCACTCCCTGCTTTAGCCAAAGACTCATTCTCATATTCCCGCGCATATTTATTTAAGTAATTTACTACTTTGCTCTTGGCCACGGCATCTTTGAAATGCATGAACTTAAACCTGGGGTCGAGAGTAGTAGAGATGGCAAGGATTGACGAATGTTCTATCGTATCAAACCTCTTAGCTAGTGGTTTCTTCAATTCTGCTTTGAATTGCACTATTGGTTCATTTCTTGGCTTTATGTTTTCCACCACTTCACGAACACAACTAACTAGTGGAATTACTTTGCTTACCGTCACGTAACTATCTCCAGAGAATTCTTTTGTTATTTTTTCAAACGGGCATAGTAATTCTATCATTTCTCTGACACAATCCAGTTCACTGCTTGATATCATTGGTGGAGCTTCAGGTCGAGTCAAAAGTATTGCTCCTACAATGGACACCAAATCTATGAATCTTTGGAGCATATAGAAATGAGAATTCCACCTTGTGCGAACATCAAGTATCATTTTTTTTATTTGACCTTGCTTCAATCCCATATCAATTTGTCTCTTCCTTAACTCATCACTTGCATTAACGCTCCTTTTAATATATTTTACGATATCTCGAACTTTACCAATTAATTCGGTACATATTTTTGAATCGTCAATAGATTTCGCGACAACCAAGTTGATTGTATGAGCAAAGCAGGGAATAATTTTTTTATCTCCAAACATTTCCCGATTGACCTTCATAACAGTGCTGTCATTGTCTGTGATGACAGCTGAAACTTTCTCAATGGAAACGTTCCACTCGGCTAAAATATCAGTTAATTTTTGAGCTATGTACATCGACGTGTGGCTTTCGGTCAACTCAAAAACACCCAAGGTCCCGCTGAGAAGTTGAAATTTGTCCAAAAAATGTATAGTAACACCAATAAAAGATTTATTTTGCATGGTTTCGGTCCAAATATCGTACGTGATACAATAGCTGGCAGAATTTGTGATATATGTTTTAAAAAGATGACTCATGGCTTCGTATTTATCATCAACCCTCATTTTTATTGTCTCTCGACTTGGTACCTTATATAACGGACACACTTCTTTCATGAGTTGTATAAAACCTTTACCTTCTACAGTGGAAAACGGTCTATTATCCATTATAATAAAGTTGGTAATAGCCTCAGTAATCTTCTTAGATTTTGCTCCATCCTGTGTAGAAATACTTTTAATGTTGTTTATGAAATCATCAACATGAGGCTGAGCAGTTTTCTGTGGATGAATTACAACATTTGATGTACTGGCCATTGAATTTTGTGATGAAAGTGAGGATACATATTTAACAGCACTGGAACTAGTCGAAGCATTGACATTGACATCACTGTTTGACGTTGTGATGTTTGAAAGTTCAATATTATCTTGATTGGTACTGGCACTACTGGCAGGGGCACGGGCAGGTGATGCAACATCATTTACGGACATAAAATCAGTTATGGAATTGGGTTTTTTCTTTTTGCAGGGAACATCAAAATCTTCCAGTTGCTGCAAATGCACATTTTCTAAATGCCCACGCAAATTAGTTGTATTGCCTGAAGTTTTTAGGCTCTTGTTGCATATTTTGCAAATAGCTTCTTTGTCGCCAGTTCTTTTAAAATAGTTCCAAATCTTACTTTTTAATTTATTAGGTGGCATTGTAACCTACAAAAAAATCAAAATCTTAATTTAAAACGTATGAATTTACACCATGCAAAACCTACACACAGAACAGACATACAGACGAGCAGACGCATGGACAGAGAGCGGGACAGATCGACACACGGACGAATAGATGCTGATATTTTAAGAAAATAAGAAAAATGTTTAAAATTGTGTAAAAAAAGTAGTATTAGTTAATATAAAAAAGAAAAATAAATGAAGTGTTTTACAAAATTTGTACGGCACTTGATTACGTTAAATACCATATAAACCTAAATTATTTTTTTTTTCCTTACAAATTGGCTTTATTTTTAAAGCGAGCAACCCACAACTCAAAACTCCCGCCGTTATTTCGCGCGTGTTTGCACGCTAAACACAAGTACCAATACCAACCAACCCCACCCAGCGCTGCGGGGGCGGCGGGGAACGCGCGCCGCCGACGCACAAGTCGCAACCTTTTAATTGATTTGATCATCAAATAAATAAAGAATAAAATTATAACAGTTTGCACTTACCCAAAAGGAAATCCAAAGTAAATACGTATGAAAACAAAAACAGAAGTATGCGCACAAAACGACGTGTTATCAGCGTTACGTTCGCGAGCCGACTGAAAAGACAACGATCAACGATGTCGATGTTTATGCCGAACATGAACGATGTATCGGCGATACATCGCTGATAAAAATATCGATGTTAACATCGTTGTTTATGAGCGGTACCTCGATGTTTCTAAAACATCGATGTATCGTTTGCATCCCTATCGATACCCCGATGGCGATGGGGTAATTGACAAGTTTTCCATTTTGATATCAGAGTGACTGCAACGGTGTTACTTGAAACTGTTGTCCAGCTTGATATTCGCGTGAATGCCATGTGTTGATTGAGTCTGTTCCCCGAACCGCATTTCAGCAATGATATTTATAACTTTGCTTTGGAATGTCAAAATTAGTAAATTCCGTAGAGCCGTCCAAAGAAGGCAATATTCCTTTGAAAAGTACTAAATGTCGGTTTTCTTTTTCTTGCAACGCTTCTAACGTTTGCGCCTCGAAATTATCTATTGTTTGGTTTGATCTCTTGCGGCTTGCAGACACATAGCGAGAAGGACCTGGGGGTAACGAGAGATTTTTTTTTGGGAACAGTAAATGGAAAATATTGTTTTGTATTTTTGTTCGGTTTCTTCAGGCACCGTTTCAAGGCTACTGTCAGTTTTATTTTGGGTAACTTTCATTAAAAACAGCAGTTGATTGTAATAATGATATTTATTCAATTGGTTTGCTCCTGATCCAGACGAACTGTTATCTTTCATTTTTTTACATTCGATAAAAATTGTCCTTCACGCTTCTCGATTTCTTCACAACCTCGTTACCTGCAAAGAAAGATAAAAATATGTCAGTTATAGTAACTATTTATTAATCTATTTCATTTATTACAGTAACTATTTATTCGATCTATAGGAATTATCTCTAATTTATGGTTGGCTCATATAGATTGTTCAGTATGGGCACGTCTGAAACTATAAGACATACAAAGATACATTTGTGTCGCTGCATCATGTAGAGAGTTTGTGATACGAAATCTATCCACAATTCGATAAAATTAATTTATTACGAATAAAAAAATAATTGATGTGTTATTTTTTACAATTTTAATTTCTATTGGGCTTCAAAAAACACCTTTTAGTTTAGTAATTTAATAATTGAAGCCTTGGGTGCAACAAGGGCGTATCTTGTAAAATAGAGTTTCGAGAAAATTGATATTGAAAGTTTTAATATCTTATATTATTTTAATACTTATAATTTGACTTAAATCTACTTTACTATTTATTAGTCCCATGATTTAGCAAAAAAAATCTGGTATCGTTATTATTTTAAAGCAATTAGAAACATCTGAAAACTAAGTTTTTTTTACTTGTATTATCCGCCCTTGTTGCACCCAACTGGTAAACAGATAGGACGTTAATTTTTTTATTGGTTTTTAAGGAAAATAAATAACAATTTGAATACTTATGTAATTACTTTTAATTAAAATGTAAGTTAAACATGTGTATTTATTACAATCATCGTTTAAATATTCAACAATAATTACAGTCATGTGAGATATACATTAATATCAACCTCTGACTGTCGTCTTTTTAATCAGATTCATCAAAATATTCACTAGACTGATGGGAATCTTCCGAATCAGCTGCAACTGGCCTCCTGGACGGTCCAGCCTGATCCTCCAGGCCTGCCTGAAAGGTCAGGACCTGTTTCAACCACTCAGCATTTTCTGGTTTCATGAAAGGTGTCAAGGATAAAACGTCCCTAATCTTTTCGTCTTTTACTCCAGCTTTTTCTACCTTCTGCAAATTCAAATCATGTTTGCTTACTGGCAAAACATTCTTCTTAAGTGTATACGGTAGATCCGGAGATGCATAAAATCTAGAGGTCGTTAACACTCCTTCAGGACTAAACTCTAGTTTTACATATTGCTCTATAGCAAACCGAGTTTTATTTTTTCCTGTGGCTGTGGGTGTCTTAGACAAAAAGACCTGTAAACCTTTATTCCAATCTTCAATAAGGTAGCTAGCCATCAATACATTGAAAGGGCTAGGATTGCTTCTTGCTGATGACATCACTTTTAAATATTGTTCAGCTGACTCAATAGTTTCCAAGGATTTTAGCAATATGCCATATCTTCCGAAGTTTCTGTCACTTAAGTGCCATAAGCTTTTTGCCAACCATGTGGAGAACATTACCATTGTTATATTTTTATTTTGGCCTCCACAAGCATCAGAGAAAAATACTATCTTCTTAATATTAGGCAAATGTTGCAACTTTTCTATAAAAAAATGATATATGAAAGAACAGACAGTGTTGGGCCCCTTTTTGGAATCAATTTCTAGAAAACAATAAAAGGAACTTTCGTGATTCATGTTGTCGTAGTAGTCGCCGGTTTTTGCACCAGCCTTAAACATTAGTAAAGCATTGGGCACAAAACCGGCTTCGGAACCCGCGTGCACAATGACTACTCTTTGTCCTTTTGAAATTCTGGTTTTTAGTCCCATCTTAGACCCATCACTCCACGACTTTGAAGTATTATGGGATGAATCAACATATGATTCATCGGTATATATGATTGGTCTGCCCTCTGCACGATACTTTGACATTTTTTCTAGGTATTCTATCCGCTGCAGTCTTATATTTGTTTGCTCGATTAATATTTGTCTATTATTCTGTGTCCTTTTCCACTCAAACCCTAGTGGATCCACTATAGTTAATATCAGTTTTTAATATTTTTTTTGTAGCTGCCTTAAAGTGGGCAATTCTTTTTCTGTAAGGTGAAAGTTGTGTACGCACCTTTTAATCACACCTTGATCAAAGCTATCCATATCTGCCACTTTCTTTTTACCTTTCCTCTTTTTTCCAGGAGTCCGGAAGATAGGTAGCATACCTGATTTATTGGCTGTAGCTGCAATTCTTTGATCAGTCCTTAATGAGACGCCAGTAGCAAGTGCCGTACGTTTCTGTACCAAATTAATAGGAATTTCGATACCTTCTTCATATTATTTTTTCATGAACTGCATAACGGTATGTACCATTTTTCTGGCTTGTCTGCGTAGAACATTGTAACGCCCGCGAGGCATATTTTAATAAGACTAACAAAAGGTCTCAGCAATAATAGCCAAATTATAACAGTAAATAACAATAAAATAAAAAACTTGACAAAACAATAACGAAATTACAACAAAATTAACAACTCGACTGTACTCGTACGGAAGTGTGCGCGTGTGTACCTGTGTACGGATGTATATCATACACTGATTTTGACATCGACACTGACGTAAGCGTCAGAACCCCTGGACCAAGTACGATTTTTTATGTTTGGAGACAAAAAAGTTTTAGTACCTTTTTGGTACTATTTGATACCTTAATTCAATTATTTAGTACCTCGACGAACAACGCAAAAACATGAAAATAAAGTGGCCAGATATTCTGACGTCAGGTTGTCTGGACCACATTTTTTTCAAAATGTGGTCCAGACAACCTGACGTCATCACAGCCAAAGTGTCTGCAATTTGACAAATTACTTCTAAGCATTGTATTTGCAGATTCACTTAATGTATCTTTGTTCAAATCAAGTGGTACTCGTAAAAAAGCACATTTCCTTCTGATATGGTTGATAGGACAATTAAAATTTGTACATAATTCTGTTATGTCTGCACTATATATTTTCTCCAATTATATTTTTTCAAATATAATTGGAGAAAATATACAAGAAGCATTTAAAACCACTCTCCAAATTTTAGTATGTTAATCTTTACGACAAATAATGAAATACGAGTTTTTTCTTTTTATGTCGTTTAGCACAAAAATGTTGAGTTATATCGTCACCAAGTTATTTTCAAAAAACATACATTTGTGGACGCTCCCGCTGCCCAGTACGTGCGCTTTACGCGCTACGTTAGTTCCCCCCCCCCACTCCCTTTCCGCAATTCATTGATAGTAATACAAGTACGTTTGCGAGTTAGTAGCAGCTACCTAAAATGTTTTCGTTTTTTCATGCTAGGGCAAATGGTACATAAAGTTGAAACCTTTCCTTCATACTTTTACGGGCTTAGGACCGTCAAATTGCAAAAATTCTATTAGATACCTACTATTACAATAACTATACTGCTTTAAATTTATAAATAAGTAGGTAAGCAAATATCAAGTTACCTAAAATTCTGTTTAGTTAAACCAATAATAAAAAAAGTAGGTACTTAACTAGATATTCTTTGCAATCAGGCGTATTTAAAAAATCATCAACTTTATGTACATAATCAACTAATCACTTTATCCTACCTAATTTAACTATTTACCTACGTATACTTTAATAATTGTTCAAAGTGCATACCGTTCCTCTCCACACAGAGTCTTGCACGTTTTTGCACATTGTCTTTTAATTTGGCGAGCACTACAGTGTCATTTTTCACGTGGTCAAATGCCGCACTAATTTGCACTTTTAAGTCCTCGAGGCTTTGTGCTTCTTCAAAATACACACGTCTTTTGATTTCACCCCACAAATAAAAGTCGCACGGTGTTAGGTCCGGCGATCGAGCAGGCCACACGATGGGGCCTCCGCGTCCAATCCATCGATCACTATATTCTATGGTGAGATGATCTCGGACGGCGGCGGCGTAATGGGGTGGTGCACCGTCCAGTTGAAAATAAAAATCCCGGAAGTAGGCCACGGGCAAGTCCTCCATGAAATCGGCAATGACATGCCGCAACATATCGAGGAAGTTGCCGCCGGTGAGCGGCCCTTCGATGAAGTACGGCCCCAGTATTTTCGTGCCTATAACACCGGCCCACACATTGACACTAAAGCGCTCTTGATGGTGGGTTTCCCGAATCATATGCGGATTTCTGAAGGACCACCAGTGTTCGTTATGATGGTTATAAAGCCCCGCACGAGTAAACAATGCTTCGTCAGTCCACAAAATGTTGGCATTAGGGTGTGCAATCAGCCATTCACAAAAGGTGCGACGGGGCACATTATCTCCATCGTGTAGAGCTTGGACCTTTTGGAAGTGGTAAGGGTGTAGCCCTGTCACATTCAGCAGCTTCCACACGGCATAGTGGCTTACGTTGAATCGGCGTGCGGCATCTCGTGTACTGGCTCGCGGGTCCCTTTCGAAGAAATCCGAGATTTCATCTTCGATTTCAACTGCAAGTCTTGATCTTCCACCTCCGCGAGCGTGAGCAGGCGTAGTAAATTGACCATAGTCCAATAGCCTTTGGTTCACAGCCAAAAATGTCTCGCGACTAGGTACTGCGGGGTTTATTAATCCCTGATTTTGCAGGGCTGGGATGGATTCTGTTTCGTATAGTCTCCGAGCTGCATTTAAACTTTCACCGCTTAAAATGTAACACCGCACCATTTCGTAATACTCGCGATTGGAATACATTCCGACGCGCGAAGTGTGGGGCTGCGGCGGGTGGCGCGCAACACGAAAGCAAAGGCGGAAGCGCGTGCGTTCAAAGGGATTGTGCGCGGGTGACTGATGTTGCCGACTAAATAAAAAACCGAGCAGATATCGTCGGCGGTGCATGCCCTGCGCCCGCGCCCCTTGCTACCCCTGCTCGTTTCGTTCATAACTAATGTGACAATGCGAATGTTATAATTATCTTGTAATTACAAAAAGTTTACACTTCATTTTGAAAATTTTACATACTGTTTTTTTTTCATATATGTGATCTATTAACGATACCTAATGCCTAGAAAAAATTTGGAGAGTCATTTTAAATGCATCTTGTATAGTGCGTACATACGCAACATTACATTCACAGCTGATATACATTTTCAACTTGGTTTCAAAATATTTTTTCAGTATCTCTACGCGCAGTTAGTAAATATTTAATGTATCGTTGGCTATAACCATTTTAATTAATTTAAAGTATTCATCATCTTCGTTGGTATTTATGATGCTATTAAATTTTAATTAACGGATTATTATATTTTAATTCATTAATTTCATAATATGTTTATATGTAAAACTGCAAATAAACAAATAATTATTACCTCTGCCATTTATTTCCATACCACAAAAAAAAAAAATTTTTTAATTCTCAATTATACTCTAATCCCTTTCGGAAAAGGCCTCCTCAGTAGAGTCTGGCAAGCGAAACGTGTCACAAGAAAAGGGCGGCAATTTCAAAAATTCTTAAGCAGTAAACACTGAATGTAGTACTGCAAAATAATTTTGATACTTTTATTAATTATATTTAATCTTAACATTTAGATATCAATTAAAATTATTTGTTTTGGAACATTTGACTAAAGCGTGACTGTTCTTAATTGTACAGTTAACAGCATATCAGTAGGCCTATTCACTAACTCAACTGACAACCAAGAATCGTCATCACCGTAAAAAATAGACACTTTGATTGTGTCAAAATCACTATTTCGTATTCTCTATCAATGATGAGCAATTTCGAAATGTCAATATCGGCATTCTCCACTGGACTCCATTTTGACACTTGATTTCGTATCGATAAACTGTATTAAAGTAACATTGTTGCAAAGCATATTTGAAGTCGTCGCATAGTACCTCTTAAGCCATTTGTTGTTAAATTAAAGCGAAAAAGAATACGTATCCAATATTTTTCTATTATCTGACTGACGGACTAAATCGAATCTTTTTTTTAACCCATTCGTTATACCTATTGGCTAACAGCACTTATAATATTAAAAATTCATATTTGTCATTAATTAAAAGGGTGTTTTTTGCAACGACTTCTTTGTTTTTTTGTAATGAATATGGGCGACTCTGGCCACATTTTTTTAATAAATGTGATGTTAGCCAATTTTGATTTCTGGCCCTTATATTTATAATGTGTTCATAACACATACATGTCTCCTAAGGGATTTTCATCACAACCTTTTGCTCTGATCCAGAACCACTATCTATCAAATTAAATTAGTCAATATAAACACCAGATTACAATAAAAAAAACATTTATTTTTGTTACAATTAAGTGCCATGGATAAATTACATAATACAGGTGTCACAAAATCATCATGTTAATCACAATAGAAAATTTAAGATAAGATTTTGACTATGAATCAGACTAAAAATACTTTAGTCTGATTCATAGTCAAAATCTGTTTCTAAATATTCTACACCTGATAACAATGACAAGGAATCATCAGAGTCACTCTCTTCACTACTGTCTGCACCAACAGATATAATAAATTTTTCAAGTTCGTTTTCAACAATGCCATCTTTTAATTTGTAATCATTTTCGACATTTAAAACATGATCAGTGTATTTCTTCCAGTCACTAGGGGTAATTAAGTTAAAACACTCTATTATTAAGTTTTCCATTTCCTTTCCTGGTATTCCAATGTTTCTGCTTGCAATTTTTCTTTTTGCTTGACTCCAAACCATCTCTATTGGGTTTAAGTCACAATGATACGGTGGCAGCAATAAAAGTTCATGATTATGTTCTTTTAAAATCTCTTCAGCTTCATATACAGGCAATGTTTTCTTATCATTAACCAAACACATTAACTCTGCCTTTGTCTGATATTCCTCAAAATGTATTCCATTATTTACAAGCCATTTACGGATATCTGCTTTGGTATTAGACATTATAGGCGGTTTATTGATTTGTTTTATATGGTAGCTGGCATTATCCATAACAATTACACTGGGCTTACTTAAATTTGGTATTAATTTTTCTCTGACCCATTTCATAAAGTTCGATGAGTTCATATCATCATGATAATCAGCAGATTTGGATTTACTACTGAACACTAATAATGCACCAGGCACAAAACCTTCCTCAGATCCAGCATGCACAACAATATGCCGTTTTCCAGAGGATATCTTTGTAGTGACACCAGTTGTTGAAGGTCCTTGCCAAGACTTTTTAACTTTATAATTCTGATGTACATAAGTTTCATCAAGGTACACAATTTGCTTTCCTTCGTTTCGTTTTATATTTATTTCTCTCAAATACTTGTGCCTCCATGCAGAAATCTGGTATTTTTCTATAAGCATAGAACGTTCATTTTCATTGCTTTTAAAAGAAAATCCATTCTTAAGCATAATTTTTCGTAAAGTCTCACGGCTACCACTGAATCCTATTGCATCTTTTAATTCATTGTGAAGGCTTCTTAATGTTGGAACAATTTTTTTCACACAGTAAAATTCATTTACTTTATTCCGAATTGCACTTAAATCAAAATTATCTAAAGCAGACACTGTTGGTTGATGAGGTCGTTTTTTCCCAGGAGTGTCCCATTTTCCTTTATTAATTAATGCTTCATTTTTTATCCTTCTTAGTGTCCTTATACTTACATCTATAAAAGATTAAACACTTTGAAACAAAGATATGTTAAATGTATTTAAAAGCAAATAATGATAGACACATACATCAAAATAATTTAAATACCTATTCAACTATGAATGCAATTTATGTTTAATTTAGTTAAGTTTATGTGCATATTTAGCATGTATAACAATTACATGGTTTGATTAGTTTCATGAATTCTGTGAATTTCCTTGTTAAACAAAACATTCTTATGACATCATTGGATGTCAACAATAAAAACCAATACATCATAAAAAACCTATGTAAATATTATAGGAATACTATCAATCTATCTTAAATCAAAACAAGAAAAGAGACCTGTCATTGAAGAAATTTTTTGTAAGTACTGCGTTTCCGAATTCAGCATTTCTTGTTTTTCTAAAGTTTTTATTGCATTTATCTCCTCCATTATTGGTTGAATATCACCATCACAGTTATCTGAAATAGAGCAATATTTTATAAAAAATATCTGTTTAGTTAATTACAGAAAATTAAAACGAAAGTATCAAAATTATAATACAAAACTAACCTAAAAAAGATACAACTTTATCTAATCGTTGTAATTTCTCCATGAAATTTTTATTTAATTCAGTTTTCACTTCAGTAAACTTGTCAATCATGATGGAAAGAAGTTTCCTCGATGAACTTTTTATCGGCTTCGACATAATTTTTAACCAAAAACACAAGTTCAAATTCGCAAAAACAACAAAATTCAATATTCTTGAATTGTCTAACGTAGTGTCAAACTGACAGTTCTATGTTGTTGCCATATGAAAACGGAAAAATAGGTGGTGTCACGTTTCGCTTGCCAAACTCTATCCTTTCATCTTTCATCTATCTTATCTGTATACATAGAGATATGACCAGCCCCATTGCAATTTAAATTTTAAGACACATCCTAGAGTATCTCTTATTTTGTGTAAGCGAAACATGGACGTACACTATAAAAATTATTCAGACTATAAACAATACATAAAGTATAAAAAAATAAAATTTTAATAATATTTTACTGATTAATAATAGAAAATGGTTCTGTGATGTAGAAATAGGTCTGTTTTGATGTTTAAAGGAAATAAACAGACAGAATTACTTGCAGTTTTATATAAACAGTAAAGATAAAATTTATTGTCACAAATAATATTAGAGATGTTTACAAATAGTATCATCTGAGAGTGGAGCATAATTTAATTTTTGTAGTAGTAAAGCATGTATTTCTTGTTTTCTCTACTCATCATTAGCCTGATGTTGCATTTTCAATTTGTGTTCCTCTTCTTGGTGCTTCTGTTCTTTTCTGGCAGTCTCCATTTGAATTTGCACAAGTTCCAAGCGAGCTGAACTTAATTCATCTAGTTTGGATGTGACACTTCTTTTAGTTGCTGTGTCAGTTTTTAGATCATTTGACACCCTCGATTTCAATGCTTTCGGGTGCCACTTATCCCATCTATTTTCTGAAAACATAAAAATATACTGAAGTAAACATATTCCCTCAAGAAAAATACTGTCACTAGGCTGTATCCTATGAATCATGATAGTTACATTTGAAATTTGCACAGATGATACATTTCTGTTGCCGCTATAAAAAAAGACTAAAAACAGAAAAAAATAAATATTGAAGGGTGTTCGCATATAACAGTTTTTCTCTTATTTTTTTTAATAAAAATGTTATTAGCGAGTAATATAAACTGTACAAAATAGTAAAGCTATCATATATACCTTTTTCTGACAGGTTATCATTCTTGTTGTAGAAATTCTTTTGGTCTGCAGTAAATGACTCATTCATATCTGAAATAACCAATCAATGTCTTTAGACAAAATATTGAGTAAGTTGCATAGTATAAAAACACAGTTCTTAGATACAATCATACAAGTTTATCTCTGTAGATTCAAAAAGTTATTAGTAAGTCACATACTGTATTTTATTTATTTTATAAATTGTTAAGATACCTTTTTGTGTCTGGTTGTCAATAGATTTGATGTTATCAATGTGTTCATACATAAATGACTCATTCATATCTGAAATAACCAATCAGTGTAGTTGTCAATATAAACAAAACATTGCATGGTACAAAGCATTTTTCTTAAGTACAATCATACTGTCTCTTGTTATTTACATGTAATATATACTGTATTGTATTGAAAAAAAAAGTAAAGCTACCTTTATGTGTCTCGTTGTCAATTATCTTGATGTCATCTGTTTGTTCGAAAGTTAATGATTCATTAATATCTGAAATGAATAACCAATCAATGTAGTTGTGAAAGTAAACAAAATCTTGGGTGAGTTTACACAAAACACAATACCTACCAGGTATACTAATGTGGACAATATCCTCTGCATTATTTGGCGTTTCACTACCTCTTAACTCGTCTACATCCATTATTACCATATCGCTGATAGATATTGGAACTGAAAATATTTTAAAACCGTGAGTGACTCTTGTGTAACTTGTAAATAATAAATACCCTACGTAAATGTAGGAGTAATCCTTACCACTTTTGATGGTATCACTATCATGACGAGCATCCAATCCTTTTATGTTAGAGCAAATGCTCATAACTTTTCCTTCCACATCTGTAAATTCAGGAGCATTGGAAGGACCACCTCCAGTCCTATACATCTCCTGTCTTTGGATAGAGGACTTATTTTTTGTGCCTTTTTTAACCCCTTCATATTTTAATTTTAATGTTTTCCAGGAGCGTTCAATTGAAGAGATCCAACTCGAGTTGAAAGAAGTTTCAATTTTGTTCCATGCGGATTCTTTATCCTTATTAGTGATAGCGTCCGTTTTTTTATTTTCTATTATAAGTTTGTTTATCCCGACGAGGCTTACAAGAAGTTGAACTTCAGTACTGTTGAAATTCGCCGAACGTTCCCTCTTCTTAGTTTCCATAATAATAGTTGTATGTAATAACGAAAGAATTAGCACAAAACTACTACACAGCAAAATAACCTCACTCGTACCGTAATATTACAAAAGTAAATCTGAATGACGTTGGACACGACGTTGACATGTCAGAAATGAAAGAAATAGTCTTCTCTCTTCTAACATACGTTCATTCAATATTGTTGTTTCACCTTCGTGAAGTTAGCGTTTTCACAGACAAGTTTATTCGTCGGATAGCTATTCATAGAATAAATATCAAATGAAAAATTGACAATCACTTATCCGACGACTAAAGAGTCCAATAACTTTATTCTTCAGTTAACTATTGGTACTTTTATCTGAGGTTTGAAAAATCGGCCCTTACTCTGTTAACAGCTTATACCATGATGCATATTTTTGAAGCAAAGAAATGTTCTCTTTGTCAAATTTAAAGTCCTTTGTATAAATATATAACCTACCTTTTTATGTAATTTTCTTCAACTTCTACTTGGACGACATAGATTATGCTGTAATACCAGTTAACATTTTTATGAGGAGAATAAGTAACCGCATCTAAATATAAATGGTAAGTAATTAAAGTATTCTAAGCAACTTTCAATAATTGTTTTGATTGTTGCTATATTCAGAATGAATTTCGAATTACTAGAAATATGTGAAGTAATGACAAAATGAAACAAAATATATTTACTTATTTTTTTTAATATTAAAAACTAAACTATATGAAAAAATTAACTATGTGCCTGCTTTCGCAGGCACCACATTGGCAGCCAGTCGCTCGCTGTAAAGCGAGCGATGGCGGCGGTGTCAACAACCGTACCAGCGTCAGATGCTGTGATATTTGTGACAGCTCCGAAATCGCCATCGATGGCGATGCCGATGAAGGCGATGCCGTTGAAGGCGATCGCCATGATGATGTTGATCACGATCGCGACTGCGACGAAGGCGATGCAGACCTTCCCGACGCCGGCACCGACGGCTGCGGTGATGCACTCGGTGTTGTGTGCTTCCAGCAACAAGTGAAGCTATAAAATATAAATTTTGTATCTTAAATGATAAATTTTATTTTATTTAACGACCAAATTTAAAAAGAATTATAAAAAAATTACCTTCAGTCAAATTCATTATTATCTATCTCAAACTTAGCAGGTAATAAACTAACCAATTCCATCGCATCTGCAGTGGGAGATGGTGGGCGCGGACCACCACCAGTTTTTATAACTTCCCTCCTATAGTTGGAAATTTCATTTTTTACTTTTAATTTCATAGTCTCCCACTGGTTTACCAATTGTTTTTTGTCTCTTTCTCTAGAGTTCATGACATTAAGCCTGAAATCATAATTAGATAGATGCTATACAAATTTATTTATTTGACATATAAAGTTATTAACATAGTTAAATGCTCGTTTCTCTTGCTCGAGTCTAAAAATGACACTCGTCTGAAATTTCCGTTTCCTAATAGATAATGGTACGTAATTTTTCGTGCCTGAACCCTAGTCGCGCTTGACAGGTTTTTTTATTTTTATTTCGACTGTTACCAACTCTGAGGCGCTGAGTTCGAATGAACTAACACCAACATTCCACAGTAGTATCATAAATAACTATTATGAATGTTAATACTAACTTCTTAGTAATTTCAGCCCATGCTTTTAGTTTTACCGTATTCGTGTTGGTTGATAGGTCCTTGTTTTCTATTACATCTAAATGAAGCTTTATGATCTCTTCTAATAGTTCCTGACATTAACAAACACAATTCTTGATTAATTCATCGCCTTCATCGGCATCGCCATCGATGGCGATGCCGATGAAGGCGTTGATATATTTATATTTATTATATGATAAATTTTATTTTATTTTACCGACCAAATTTAAAAAGAATTATAAAAAAATTACCTTGATACCATCACAGTCAAATTCATTATTATCTATCTCAAACTTAGCAGGTAATAAACAAACCAATTCCATCGCATCTGCAGTGGGAGATGGTGGGCGCGGACCACCACCAGTTTTTATAACTTCCCTCCTATAGTTGGAAATTTCATTTTTTACTTTTAATTTCATAGTCTCCCACTGGTTTACCAATTGTTTTTTGTCTCTTTCTCTAGAGTTCATGACATTCAGCCTGAAATCATAATTAGATAGATGCTATACAAATTTATTTATTTGACATATAAAGTTATTAACATAGTTAAATGCTCGTTTCTCTTGCTCGAGTCTAAAAATGACACTCGTCTGAAATTTCCGTTTCCTAATAGATAATGGTACGTAATTTTTCGTGCCTGAGCCCTAGTCGCGCTTGACAGGTTTTTTTATTTTTATTTCGACTGTTACCAACTCTGAGGCGCTGGGTTCGAATGAACTAACACCAACATTCCACAGTAGTATCATAAATAACTATTATGAATGTTGATACTAACTTCTTAGTAATTTCAGCCCATGCTTTTAGTTTTACCGTATTCGTGTTGGTTGATAGGTCCTTGTTTTCTATTACATCTAAATGAAGCTTTATGATCTCTTCTAATAGTTCCTGACATTAACAAACACAATTCTTGATTAAGAGACAGTTTTATCAACAATACCCCACGTGATAACAAGTGTTCGCTCAAAAGAAAGTACTCAATTTTACAAATTATATGTTAGTAGTAGATATACTTTCTTTTTCCCAGTTTGTGCTGCGTTCTCTCTTACTTGTCATTTTGATATTAGTTTATATTTAACTCATTAATTTACAATAACTTCCACTAAATCACTCGCGTCTTGTTCAAGGAATAGCCACATGTAACGTTAATCAACCAAACGTCAAACTCAGTAACATATGACACTTCTTCCGAAACATATCTTATTTTCGATTTTGTCTATGAAATGCGGCGTTGCCGCTACGTGCATCGAACATAAGGGTGGAATACTTAGGCCGATGATATACCCCCGGTACTCCTCCCCCCTTTCAGAAATGCGTAGTTTTAAAGATATAAATGTCAGAAAAAACAAAGTATTGTAAATCTATAAAAAAAACATTGAATTAGATTAGATAATGATATCTCACTGAATACTTAATTGATAATCATTCAATTATATAGAAAATCCAATGGGATTTCTAGTAAAACAATTTTTATTGAATATTATTTTATTTCATAAACATATTTTATACATTTTTACAGTTCCTCGAATGGGTCTTTATGGTTTATTTTATTTCTTCTTTTCCATATTGCTTCAATAAGCCATTCTGTGAAATTTTCTGAATAATTTTCTTTATTAAATAATCTTTTCATCACTCGGCAAGAGATTCGATCCTCTGTGTATGGACCCCATCTGATGCCACAAATTTGTCAATGGGGTCGCTATGGTTTACTTTTCTATGAACATAGCCATGTTCCGGAAGGCAGTCATAGGCTTTCCAAAAGTCGGTGTGGATGATACTGCCTTCCCGAACATGTTTTTTTATTAAAGATATAAGCACTTCTGCACTTCTTTCATTATTAAGGCAAACTTCCAACCGCAAGTCGTCACTCCCATCTTCAATGAGGCCTAATACCCAATGCCCTTCTATGTTGCGGCCTCTATTGTATTTTCGCCTTCCAAATTCCTTCCAAACTCATCTATCTGTACAATCTTTCCTGGCCCTCCAATTTTTTCTCTTTCTTCACAATGCTCTAATTCATGTACAACTACTGCCTCCCTACAGTAGTTGTACCAATCGGCTATTGTTGCCTGAGATATAACTTTATCTCTATAGTGACTAGTTTCCCGTCTTACTAATTCGTATGTATAATCGGAACTATACATGTACATAACATGAAACATGATTGGTAATGGCAAAAGCACTTTCTCAAACCATGTTCCAATAGCACGGCTATAAGATTTGCTGCGGCATTTGCCTGTTCTGCAGCGAAATTGGCTCACCTGGCCTGTACCTGAAAAAAAAAGATAATTTTAAGCAAAGGTGATTTCAGTTCCACACCTTAAAGAGATGCGACATAAAAGGTGGCGTGGCCGTTTTTGGAACCGTTTACGGGTCACATTATTTACAAAATCATTATTTGGATATTACTCGATATCCGCAGTAATTTTTCATTATAATATGACATATTCAAGTACATACATTTTCAAAATAAATTCTTAATCTTCCCGGCTCCATTTCATTGAATACATACCGTTATTGGTTCACAACGTCACTTTTAAATAAACTTTATATCGCGCCTTATCTCGAACATATGTCGTTCCTAGACTTGAACAACTCCCGGCAGCTCTACAGATTAGGAACAGAGCTCCCAGCAGCTCTATTGGACACGGACTTCTCCCGGTTGCTCTCCGATTTTTTTCAAATTATCATCGCTTTATAGTCCGCTATTTTCTTGAGTCAGTTTATTCTACCTGATTTCTTAATGTTTCTCAATCTTATCTGTAAAATTTTTTCGATATGTCTTCTGTATAAAATTCTGCATATTGCGATCGCTCCGATCAATACTAAATACCAAGAATCACTAAAATTGTTATCAGTAAATATTCATTAGTTATGTTACACTATTAGTTTAATTATTTTGCACTTTTTGATTTGCATGATTCGTATCGGGGGTTATCACGAACACATCTATTTTTATAGTTCGTTAGTATTTATGTAACGTTATATACCTTGTACATATACAGTGACTTTGTGCGCGTGACAAGAGGTACAGTCGGGTACAAATACAAATACAGTTATTTACGGGTTCTTAAAAAAAAAAACAATAATTTGGTAATTTAATGTTTATTTATGGAACATTATTCTGAGTCACTACTTCAAAAATCAAATGATGAATTTCCGGATTCACTGTTCTCACCAAAGTTAATTATTAATTCTGACTCCATGTCAAAATGTCGATAGTATTCTTCTTCTTTCTTTCGTACATGTCGACAAGTATTACCCCACATCTCTTCATCAATTTGACTTAAACGTTCATGTATAAGTTTCATTAGTCCCGTCACTTTTTGTTCGACATTATGCGAAGCAATAAAATTTTTTAAAATACCCCACACATTTTCTATGGGGTTTAATTCAGGATGATATGGGGGCAGT